TGGCTGCTGAGGATGACAAGAGAGAAAGGCCTTCCTGAGACTAGCTGCTCTTCAGCTGGCTGGGTGTGAGGTTGTTCCCTGTCGCAATGGAGGCATGGGAGGCGTGAGAACTTATGTGACATCTGCTCTCCCTAAGCCTGGCTGGCATTCTTTGACTATTGTTCAGGCCTCCAAATAGGATGTTGGTGAAGAGTTACTTTGGATTTTGGTAAAGTCCAATCCCTGATCAGTGGAGAAGATGTAACAGCCTGTAACACAGTGGAGCAGTCACTATTCACCTGGACTTGCAGCCTTGGCAAAGGGGCTTGGTGCCATTAGATGGGGGTCCAGTGGGAGAGACAGACACCTGTAGGTGAAGGACATTCCTGACTGTTCGTGGCCTCTTGCCAAAATCCTTCATGACCAGGCACAATATTCCTCCAGGAAGTCTTACTTCCAGCCTACATAGGCCTCTGTCCTCTCAGTTCCTATTAGACTTAATGTTTGTGTCACTCACTTAAGCCTGTAAAACATTCTTTGTCAAATCATGTGGATACACACAGAGAGACTGGGCAAGCAATTCCTGCTATGTATATCTATCTATCTATATATCTGTCTGTCTGTCTATCTAATAGTCCATTTCTGTTGCTTATAACATAAATTCCTGAAACTGGGTAATTTGTAAAGACAAGTCCAGGGAACACATCTGATGAGGGCCTTCTTTGGTGGTGACTTCAATGACATAGGGTGTCACATTGTGAGAAAGGCAGAAGCAAGAGATAGAACTTCTCATGTGCTCACCTTTTAAAGCCATCAGAACCATGCCCATGACCACCATTAAACCATCAAATGGATTAATCCACTCACTATGGCATGGGCTTCACAATCTAATCACCAATTCAAGGCCACACCTTTCAGGTATCATAATACGATTTTCCACCCTCAACAGTTGCAGTGGGAGTTAAGCTTCAGTGAGTTTGGGGGGACAATCCACAGCTCTACCTACCTCCCTCCCTATTATCTTACAGTTAGATTGTAAATTACCTAAGGTCTAGGGACCACACAGGCCTATTATATCTCCCACAATTCATGGGAAGGTGCTAACTAGGGGTGTAACTAGTACCCCCAAATATCCATTGGATTGAATTTTGGTGTTTTTAAATTTTTTTTTCTCTTTAGGAGTGTAAAGAGATTGAAGGGGAGCGGTTTACTTCTTGGGACAAAAGCTTTCGGTGCGCAGTGTGTCAGCTGAGGACAGAGGGAACTATGCATGTCGAGCCGGACTGGCGCACATGGGGAAACAGTACGTGGTTTTAAATGGCATCGCTGTGAACATCAGTAAGTGTGCTCGTGTCTGTGGCCTGGCCTTCCTTGTACTTTGTGTGAGCTGGCTGGCTTTGCGCAGAAGGGATCCTGATCTTGATTTTCCTGAATGTTAGCAGGCTCTCCACCCTGCCACTGTTAGAATCGGGTACACGGAGTGAGGCAGAAGGGCGAGGAGCTCAGTTTTCTCTCCGCAAAACAGAATACTCAGAGCTCTTGGTTTACTTGTGAAAATTCAATGAGAGCATGTCTCGAGAGTAGCTAGGTGCCTGACAAGGT